AAACAAAACAAAAAAAAAAAAAAAAAAAAAAAGAAACAAAAACAAAAACAAAAAACAAAAAAGTTATAAGGATAACTAAAATGCATGAATTATTTTCGGTTTGCAATCATTTGCAATTGCTAAGACATTATTTTGGATCAAATTAGATTTAATCGTTATATTTGAACTGAGTTTCCCTCATACCCGTGTTTTCCTTTTATTGTTTTCTTTGTCTTGTTTTGAAGAAAAGTCATTTATCACGAAAACCTTTAAGAACATCAACTTTAATTTCTTTTGATGGTATTTGAATGTGTTTGTTTTAGTGAATCTAACAACAGATGTGATCGAACTTGCTCTCGTTGAAAATAATATTTCGTATTATTTGTACCCATATAATTGTATTATTTTACTGGATAAATATTTGTTTTTCAAAATTTAATGGTAGATTGCGACATGGGAAATTTAGAATCACGTTTTAGCAATATAATAAAATACATAAAAAATTGACATATTATATAAAAATTGGATATAAATACACATGTTAGAATCATGCCTTAGCATTATGTAAACTTTAAAATCTATAATTATAGATACATTATGTTATTCATTATATTAAATTTTATGTTAAATAAGCATTATGCTTTTCATAAAGGCACAATTAAAATTTAAAACTTAAAAGTTGGTTTTATGTGCTTAATTAGGTGATGTGCGTCTACCAATAATTAAAGTCGACAAAACGTCGCATAAGTCTTCTTTTGGCTGCCAGCGCATGTATCTATCTCATGATGCCTTGAATTAGAAGCATCTAGAAAATTTAAATTTAAATAAAATAATTGTTGATTATTTTAATTTATTTCCAATCCAAAAATAATTAGGTTCGAATTATTCATAAATATGTTGATTATTTATGGTCATGTTACATTATTAATTACATTTTAATATCATTTCCTATTATAACTATATAATTGTAAATATATTTTAAAAGTTAATAATTTTTGTATTTTTTATCAGTTTTACATATATAATATATCAAATTAATCATCTCTTGATGAGTTTTGATTTAACGTCCACATTGTATGTATAAAAAAAATAAATTATATTTATCTTTATAACAGTAATAAAATTATTTTTTAATATCAATTAGAAAAATAAAATTATTTGTCAATTAATATATTTATATTTCAAGTAGTTATATGATATAAGTTATAAAAATTACTATACTACATAATAATATATTTTTTTTAAAAAAAGTAAATAAAATTTAAAATAATTTTTCTCATTAATTTTAAAATTTAAGAATAATTTTTTAACAAGCACCCGTGTAATACACAGGTGTAATTATTATATTTACTTTCACTACAAAAATATTGTTAAATTTCAATAGAAAATCCTACGTTAATATATTTCAATGAAAATTCCAACAGATATTTCAATTGTATAGCTTCTATTGGAATGATTCCAACGAAATTATTCTGTTGGAATTAGTTTTCCATTGGAATTTAGATGGAATTTTATCACTTCAACGGCATTATTCTAACGGTCTTTTATCGTTGGAATATACAATTTTCGTTGAAATTTTTATCTTCACCCATATTTCAATCGTTGGAAAATGTACCATTGGAATCGTCAAAATCCAATGAAAATTTCATTAGAAACCTCATTACAACGGGTTATTTTTGTTAGAATTTCCATTGAAATCCATTGAAAATTTCAAAAGGAAATAATAGCATTGTAATATCCATTGAAATTGTCGTTGGAATTTTTCGTATGAATTTCATCACATTCTTGTAGTGGGAGTGATAGATCTTTTCTTGAAATTATGATATATAATATTATTACACAAACTAGTGTATACTCCGTGCGATGCATGGAAATAATATTAAATTAACAATATTATAAATAGACCTCGAGTTTGAGTCACTCAATGACCGAAGTGAAAACTACTATTGATCCTATTTAAAAAGAGGAAGCAAAAAAAATAATTATAAATTAAAGAGGAAGATAAACAATACTTAATAATTATAAATTAAAGATTCGGGGTCAAACAATGTAAAATTATTGTGTATAAGATAATATAAAAAAATTTGATTACACACCATTTCAAAATTATTATTATACTTTTTTGTATGGTTAGCTTATAATATTTGTAAAAATATTAGTAATTAGACCGATAAAAATTAGCTTCTTAAAGTAGATAATGGATTTTCAGTAGTAATTATGAATTGGTTTCTATTTTATTTTATTTTTTCTTTTTAAAGATAATGGATTTCTAGTAGTAATTATGAATTGGTTTCTATTTTATTTTATTTTTTAAAATCTGTATAGATAAGGGATGAAATTTTTTAAACACGGGAGACGTATGCAATGAGATTTTGTAACAGAAGAGATAAGCGTGTAGATTTATACTAAAAATAAGAAAAAGAAAAATAAATATTTATTGTCAAACAACGGTTTTGATAAACTAAAAAAAATGAGCTGATTTTTTTGCCTATTTAGATTTGTCCAACAATTACTATATTAGGATATATTTAATGATTTTGGCGGAAAAAAGTTTCTAAATTTATAAAAAAAGTTATTCTTTTTATATAATGATAGATGATCTTAATGTTGACGTTAGGTTGATCAATTATTGATAGAAATAAGTAAATTGAAATATGATTCACCATATTATATGTATTATTTTTACTAATATAATTGTCTAATAAGCAGTATGCATAATTTGTATATTAGGTCTTATTTGACACTACAAAATTCACTACTATATTTTTATTTATTTTTCTCATTTCACCCTATATTTTTTAATTAAAAAATTTCGACACCGTACCATATATGTTATCCATTTGTCCTTTTCTTTTTCAGGGTTTTCGTAAAACCGTACCCGATAAATGGGAATTCGCCAACGAGAACTTCAAGCGAGGGCAGAAGGATCTCCTCGTCCACATTCGCCGTCGAAAAAATGCACCCGCAGTGGCTAAGACCGCGGCCGCTGCGGTAGCCGAAAACCTCGCTTCGCCGGAATTCTCCGGCGAGGATCCCGGATCGAGCTCCACCTCATCCCCAGATTCCAAAAATCCTAACTCGGCCGAGACCCAAGCATCGGCTCAGCTAGCTGATTTGTCCGGCGAGAACGAGAAATTGAAAAAAGACAACCAGATCCTGAGTTCCGAACTCGCACAGACCAAAAGGCAGTGCGACGAGTTAATAGCCTTTCTGACCCGACGCGTGAAGGTGGCACCGGAGCAGATCCGCCGCATCATGAATCTCGAATCAGATTCGGCCGCCGCCGATTCGGCCGATGGCGGCATAAAATCTGATTTTGGCGGTGATGAAGAAAACGAGAACTCTATGAGGCTCTTCGGGGTGGTGGTGAAAAAGAAGAGGGGTTGTAATGAGAATAATGAATTTTCAGGGCCTCAAAATAAAGAAATGAAAATGAGTCTTGAAGTTTGCGTGCCCTGGATGAAAATGTCTACATCACCTAGGGAGGGCAGCAAGGTCTGTAACTGACCATAGGGGTCGTGCCACGTGTGGAGGGGTCAAAATAAAGAAGGGTGTTTTCGAGTGGGTGAATGTTTTATATTTATGCAGTTGTGACTTTTCTGTGAGGTGGAAGATCAAAAAAGCCAATGGGTTTTCCGTCTCGAATTTAAAGGTTTATATCAATGAAAATTTCAATCTGAAGGTTTGTGTTGTTGTAGTTTGGTATAACGGACGGGATTATGTATCTTAATGTAGTTACAGATTTATCATAATAATAATAAATAACCATACTGATTTTGTGCAGTCTTGTGATATAAGTTTCTTGGAGTTGGAGCTTCTTCTTTTTTCGAACGATGTTTATAGTCAATAAAAACGGGCTTTAGTTTATAACTACAAAATGGTTTCGTTAGGCTATCTGCCTCATAAATTGATTTTTATCATATTTTCGAATATATAGTTCTTTTATATTTTTGTGGTTGTACACATGAAGAGAAAAAATTCGTGTTTGTAGCGACATAAAAATGGGAAATGGCAATGTTCATTTGTATTTGAGTATCAGTTGGAGGAAAGATATTTATTTGCCTTTGCGTTAGAGGGTTCAATTGGAGAGGCTCTAAAGAAGAAAACACTTTTTTTTTTTTTTTATCTTGTTTTGGGAGTTTGTTCCTTCTCTAATCTCTACATTTTTCTGTCAATACATTTTTTTGTCAATTATGGCCTTAGAGCATCTCTAACCGATACCCAAAACTCAAAAAAATGCACTATTTTTGTTCCAACCGATACTCAGACCCAAACCCAAATTGCATTTTTTCCTCTTGTTCTGATTGTACAGACGCAAATTTGCGTGCTTCCTGTTCACAAACGCAAATGTCTTCACAAATTGCAATATGACCCCGATGACAGACAGGTGAGATTGGATATGTTTATTTCCTTTCTTCTTTACAGTATTTATGCCAATAATTAATTTTTAATATATTATAAAATTTAAGTGAATGTCAATAATTAAAATTTGAGGCTAATTATTTCTAGTGACTACAACAGGTTTGTATATATATATATATATATAGGATGTGGTTCAAATGAGAATCAAGTTTTAGTGTGAGAACCGCTATTTTTATTTGGGCGTAGTGCTATGATTGATTGTGTTTGATGCTATTTTTAACTTGAATGAATTTTATTAAAAATAGTAACACAATTTCTGGTAGCACTTGTGAAAATGATAGCGTCATCTTATATGAAAAATAGCATCATACACAACTAAAAATAGCATCAAAAATGGTTTTCACGGTTCTCACACCAGGATTAGTTTTTATTTGAACCAACCCCTATATATATATATATATATATATATATATATATATATATATTACTTTTTATATATTTAGTGGTATTGATGTAGTATATATTTCTGTATGTTTAGCTCTATATTTTATTTTTATGTAATGTAATAGCTAAATATTATTCTGTAGAATAATTATAGTTATATATAATTTTAAAATTAGAATGAAATACTAGCATTAAAAAATACGAAATATATTTCAATGTACGTATAGGTATTTTATTTGTGTCTCAACGTATGTTTGGATTGTAATTTTCAACTTTCAAAGAATATTTATTTCTCTAATTTTTTTATGTATATGAATTTGAGCATTAAAATTAATTTTATTACATAAATTGCTAATCGAATTTAAAATAACAATGTGGTTTAATTTGTGAAGTTGTAAAATATTTGGGTAGTATTGAAAAGTTGTAAAAGTTGATGAGAAAAGAATATTTGAGAATATTCTTTTGAGTTTGAGAATGAGTTTTTCGGTTGGAGATGAATTACTGTTTGATGCGACACTTACTGCAAAATGGGTTTGAGAATGAGTTTTTCGATTGGAGATGGTCTAACTTTGACCAACCCCAACTCCATCCTTGATCGCTACCTGCCTTTTCAATTTTTTTGAGAGAAAATAAAACACAATTATTTGAAACTCCAATGAACTACCACCATTTGGATTCGTATAGAACACACACACACACACACATATATATATATATATAGTAGCTGGAAGAAATTTATTTTCCCGCTCAAACTACTTTTATTACTTCTAAGTCTTAATTTGTTTGCCTGAATTTTGCTAATTCCAATATTAATCAATTCGTGAAGTAAAATTAAATCTACAGTGTTTCCGTGACGACTCCTCACAAGATCTGTCGAGGCGGTTCGTCCGCAATTTTTGGGTCTGAGTTCTAAAATTTGTAGTTCTGTTGTGACTTAGCTATGGTGTGGGTTTCGTGTGTCGGTTTGGGTGGTCTTTTTGGCCAGTCTGTTTGTTTATTATGCATGTTTTTCTTTTGTCTTTCTGGATTTGTGTTTTGTTTAGTGAAGCGTCGTCTGACGCATAGTCTACTTCATGGAGTTTATTTTGTGGTTTTTTGTTGTCTCCTTGATAGAGTTTGTACCACCTTGAAAACATGTGTCATTTCAAGGGTTCGGTCTAAACTTGTTTTGGCTCCTATGGTATCAGTTGACACTTCTATTGTACTTTATTGAGTTTCAAGTTATTAATATATTTGTCATTTGGAAAAATAAACAAATAACTAAATAAGTTTGAGAAGCATGTTTGTTTATGAAAATTTTTCAAAAAAATTCTATATTTTAACTCAACCATTTTTTAACTCAACCCTACTATCATCAATATTATCAATATAATTAAATAATATCAATCAATCATTAATACACACCAAATCATCTCTTCAACCATCACTACTGTTCACTCACATTATTTTAACTAATCATCACCTCAAATCATCTATCTCCTACTTTTACATCAAATTAATTTTAATTATTTTATTTTAAATATTATTTTAATATACCCACTAACAACTAATTATACCACATTTTTCAAAATTAACAAAACCAAACAAAAAAAATCCAACAACAACAAAAGATTTTGGCCTCGTTTGTTTATTGGCTTTTCAAGCTTTTTTTGGCCGTTTGATAAGTTGGCTGCTTTGACTTGTTGATCCGCTAAAAAAATGTTGTTTGATTTTCAGTTGTTTTATATTAGCTTTTTACTTGGAACGCTGTTTTTCAAAACGCTACTCCTAGGAGCGTTTGAGATAGCGACTGGAATTTCAATGTTTGCATTTTTAATTATCCTCTTAACAATGCATTGAGTCTTTTAATTTTGATGGATTCTTGTACGGCTGGTTATTTACTTATTTATAGTGGGGGTAGGGCAGTAGGGGAGTGGGAGTTTAGAGTCTTTAGACCATCATTTTTTAAGTGCATAAAAAATTAAAATTTTAGTGGGCAGATAACAACAAGAGTATTATTTGTGTCATTTATTTTTTTAAAATATTATTTTAGTATTTTAAAATTATTTATATTTCACTTATTACTTCTACTATAAAAAATATAAAAAATAATTGACTTTTAAGTTTAATTTGTATTTTTATTTCACTTATACTTTTACTATAAAAAAATAATTTAAAAATACTTATTATATCAAAAATATTTTTTGTAAGTATAAAATAAACAAAGGAATATAAGAAATGTATATTTATATATAAAAAATTCAAGTTAATAATAAAAAATATATTTTAACAAATCAATAAGCTACTTTTACCAAACATATTTTTAAAAACCGCTATTACTATTCGCTAGTCAACACAGTTGATACAATCTGCTGGTCAAAACATCTAATACAATCAGCTAACAACTAACAGGTATCCGCTAACTACCAAGGCCAAATTTATATCCAAATATGTTAGAGCATCTCCAATGCAACTTTTGACATTATAAAAAGTCATCCATATCATCAACTTTTAAAAGTGTGTCTCTATTTTTTTTCTCCAATGCATCTTGTCATGAACTCTTTCATGATGAGGTGAATGTCATTTAATGTTGACAATGTTGAACACACTTTCTAATATCTAACACCATGTTAAACATGATGACTCATCAATTTACTTTATATTTGTTTTAATTTTTTATTTTTTTTTTGTATCAATGAATTATTTAATTGGTCCACCTATACAAATAACTTTTTATCAAATTGATGCATTGGAGATACTAGTTTCATTAAAATTTTTAGTCTTTTAATATTATTCCAACGTGGATTAACATTACAATCACTAATTGACACGTGTTAAAAATAATGGTCTTTCACACTTATAGCATTGGAGATGCTCTTAATGGATTTTACTTCTTGTTGGTGTTAGCCCCTCAAAATATCTCGCGGAATAGCCTATATTGGGGAAAAGATGAAAACCTCCTAGCCCGCCAATGGCGACAATCTCCGCCGGTTTCTCGCGCTCCACTTTCAATTTCTCACGGCCTTTTTCTTCTTCTCCGATTTCTTCTCGACCCTCGTTCTCGCGAGCTCGATTTTCTCGCTCGTCCGCCTCCATGGATTCCAGCGACGAGCTCAGATCGAAGTTTATGGAGTTCCCGTACGTTTCTGGCTCCCACAGAGACCTTATGGTGGACCTATTATCCTCTGTAGAGACCCGCCTTGGATCCTCGCTCGAGAGTTGTACTCTGCCTCCCGACGTACAACATTTCGAAAACTCCACCGGCTCTGCCCGTGGGTCGCTCCATCTCAGATCCGGTCTCCCTTCTTCTCAGGTGCTCTCTTCTGTTTATTCGTTAGTTTTCTAGCTTTCGCTTAATTGTAATCAAGTTGAAGGATTCAAAATCAACTAAACCTAAAGTTTCCTGCCACTGGTGTAAAGGTATTCAAAGACAACAGCAAAAACAGAAACTAGGAAATAGGCATTTTGAGTGTTTCAAGGTGACTGTGATGTGGTTACTTCATATATTCTTTCTGCTCAGTAAGTTGTTGGTATTGTGATTAATGCGTTGTTGGTTGATGAGGAAATACTCTCCTGGATTTCTTGGTAACCTTTGTTTCGGGTATGATTAATCAAAATACGCTTACACTTCTTCAATTTTCAAACATATTTCTTGTGATTTTGTTCCAAAAGTGAAAGGATTGTGTGAGTAAACAATGAAGCTTCTGTTTCATGTTTCGGGCTATTGATTCTACTCAAACCCAAACCCAAACTCAAACTCGAACCTAATGCAGAGATGCGCAACAAAAGATATCTACAAAAATTGTAACCAAAATGCGGTAGAGGCTAAACCATATCAACATCCTCTCAAAATTCATTAATTAGGGGTGAGTTCGTTTGGGATTTCTAAAGATTTTTTAAGACTTCAGAAATCATGGTGTATTTAATTTAGACTTTTGAAAGTCTCGAGTTGTTCATTTGAGATTTTGAAAAGTTTTACAAAATCAAAGGTATTTAGCTTATTATTTCATACTATGATTCGCTAAGACTTTTTATGATTTGCTGGGTTTTTAAAACAAAAAACTATATACGAAATTCCACACTAAATCTTACCTCCACCTCCAGACTTAAATGTTTTGCAGGATTCCTCCTAAATGTTAAAAAGTCTCAAAATGTCACTCTAAATCCCAAACGAATACACTAATATCATCACCAATCATATACACGTTGTTCAGATTGATTTCGTACTCGGAGGTTGGATCCACTGCCAGCTGCCGTCCGGCGAGGCCCTCAACATCACGACCCTCTCGGCATACCTAAAACCCTCGACCGACGCTCCTCATTTCCTCCTCGATCTCATCCAAACCGGGCCCACTTCCCTTGTCCTTATCCTAGACCTAACCCCACGCAAGGACCTCATCCTCTACTCGGACTACCTCAAGAAGTACTACGAGGACACAAACCTAGACAGGCACAGAGTCCGCATCGACGGCCTTCCCGAGGCAAAGCCCTACTTTTCACCCTCACTCTACGTACGGTCACTCCTTTCCCCGACTGCGATTTTGGTATCGGTTGGTGGAGAAAGGAGTGTCGAGGATGTGATAAGGGAGCACGTGGGGCCCGTTGCTCGTGAGGTGTTGGATTTTTGGATTGGGTTGTGCTCGTGTGCGGTGGGGAGCGTGGGGGGAAAGGAGAGGGACTGTTTGGTTAGGAGGGATGGGATTATTAAGAGGACGACGGTCGAGGTGGATCTTGGGTCAAGCTTTCCGAGGCTGTTCGGGCATGAAGTGGCAGATAGGGTTTTGGGTGCTTTGAGAGGATATTATGGTAAATGAAAAAGGATGTTTGGTGGTTTTGTGCAGTTGCCTTTGTGGTGTAATTGTGAGAAGTTCTATGGGGTTTGTTGTGTTGTTTTGTGTAGTTCCCAATTTTGTGGATGGTCACCAAAAGTTGGCACCTTTCTTGTCTTCTGAAGGTGAAAAACTAAAGATAAACATATGTATTTGCATTTGTCATAACCTTTTAACTTTTTGGCAAATTTAAATTGAACTTTTGAGTAATTGTAAAATAATCACGAATACATGACTTGTTATACGAATTCATAGCCACTCACTATTTTGGCAACGTGGCCGGTAAACTTAAGAGGACGTGACAAGTTTGATTCAATTTCACACCAAGGTTATTGCATATAAAATCACTGATATTTTGATTTGGTTTTTTTTTTTTTTTTTNATAAAATTCAACTTTAAAAACTTTAATAAATAAATACATCAATTTTTCTTTGATTATGACTCGAACCCAAAAATGTTTCTAATGATTTGTTTTTTACTCGTCAAATATGAAATGAGCTTTTGTATGCTGTATATCCATGTAAGAAAAAGAAACTAATCAACTATATACATACAGATAAAACTAATTAGTGCACCAAAACTACTTAGGTCTTCTTGATCACAAGAAATTAATAGACAAAAACTGTTAAAAAAAGATGGACCAAATTTTTTATCTCTGAAGTTAGTGGAAATAAATTAATTATGACTTATTGATGTCCATGTACAAATATCGTGTCGCAGAGAAAGGATGACACGCAAGAAGATTGTTCTTTTTTAAGTGGCAAATAGCACTTAACTTTATTCTTGCATTGTGTTTGTACTTTAATAATAATAACTCTTTGATGATCATAATCCAATCAATATAGACACTAATATTTGTATTATTACTTTGCCTAAAAATGTCGGAGGCGGGAAATGTACTAACAAAACCATTGGAACATTTTTTATATTTGAATTGCACGGGAAATGTACTAACAAAACCATTGGAACATTTTTTATATTTGAATTGCAATGGGAGCAAAAGATAATGTATGTATTTGCTTGTTTTTCTAAAGTTGATTTGAGTTATGTTTGCAATTAACATAATAACAATAGACTTGCTCCATCAAGCACACCCCTATACCCGAAGATAGAATGCAACTTTCATGCTAACTACTCTGGTGGATGTGGAAAAACAAGAAATCTCTGGATTTTTGAAAGCACTTGAAGATCAGAAGCTCAAACTGTCAGACTAGCTTTATTGGAATGGTCTGAGTTTGCCTCCGTTTGTAAATAGTCTATGTCCTTGCTAGTAGGTTAGTTTTAGGGTAGTTTTTGCTTTTTTTCTTTTGTGTTAGTAGGTTTTGTTAGTTTGCTAGGTCCTGGGAAAGGGTATAGTGGCAAACTAATTTTGGAGTTAATGTCTTTAGATTGAAGAGACATTAGCAACTGCCAGAGTTGGTTAATTAGTTCATGGTGCCAAAGAGTTTTCTTTGTCATGTGTAATCTCTCTGAAGTCTTGTTATTTAGGAGCTCAGCTCCTGGCATAGTGCCAAAAACTTCTTCTTTTTGTTATAAAATTTATCGTCTTGGAAAAAAAAAACAGACTTGCCATGTTCTTTTGAATTGTCAACCAAGCTGACAAAAAAATGATCGTTGATTAACTTTGGTTTCACCTTAGCAATATTTCATGATCATGTCTTCCCATGTTATATATTTAGTTTTACACAAATTCTCGTTTGAATAGTTTAACGGTTAAACGAGTCGACCTGTCATATTAGTACGATAAAAGTATATATTTATGTTATGAAATGATATATTTTTATTTATGTTATTTATTTAGAGCATGAAATTTCAATTTGAAAATATATCAAGAAAGTATATTTGTCTGACAGCTCGGTCAACCTAATAGTAATCTTAATGTTATTTTTAAAATATAATAAAACTTAACAATACTACTAAAAATATAAATAAAAAACCTTAAACCAACTATAAATAACTAATATTTCAATGTTATTTCCCAACTGTATAATAATGGCCAACTCATGGCGCGCTTCCTCTCGCGACAAAGCCCATCATCCATGCCATGCCAGAAATTCGACCTCACGCAAACCCACACCTAACCAGCCATTTTCTCTCTGCATTGCCATTTTGCCGTAAAATACGAGACTTGAAGGCCTTAAACTCCCTCCTAATAGTTCATGGACTGATCAGACACGGGACCGCCGTTAAAAGCTTCATCAACCACTGCTGTCATCTGGGTTTTCCAGATTTAGCTCTCCTCACTTTCAAATCAATCGAAAAACCAAATCTTTACACTCAGAATTTACTCCTCAGGAGCTTGTCTGATAATGGGCTGCCCGAAGATGTGTTCTCTGTCTATGAGAAATGCCGGGTTTCCGGACTTTATTCAGATAATTACACGTACCCTTTTGTTATCAAGGCTTGTGCCGCTTTACGTGATGTCTGGTCTGGCAATATGGTGCATTGCGTTGTCTTCAAGAATGGGTTTGGAGAAAATCTGGTCGTTCAGACCGCGCTTTTGGACTTCTACTCGAAAATTGGGCAAATGGCTAATGCCCGCAAGGTGATCAACGAAATGACACAACCGGATTTAGTCGCTTGGAACGCGTTGATTTCAGGGTACTCTTTAAATGGGCTTGATTATGAGGTGGTTAAGGTTTTTCGGGATATGCTTGCAGCGGGCTTGAAGCCTAATGCCAGCACGTTGGCGAGTGTTTTTCCCATGTGCTCTCGTGTTGGAGTTCATGGGTTTAGTGTTTGTCTTCATGGTTTGGCCTGTAAACTTGGGGTAAATGAGGATGAGTCTTTGGTGCCCGCTTTGATTTCCGTTTACGCTAATTGTGGGGATTTGTCGGCAGCTAGAGGGATTTTTGATGCGTGGACTGGCGAAAATGCTGCCATTTGGAATGCCGTAATATCTGCTTATACGCGAAACCAAAAACCGGAAAATGCTTTTGCACTGTTTAAAACGATGCTAATGGATGAAGTAAACCCGAATATGGTGACTTTTGTGTCTCTTTTCCCCTCATCCGAGAATCTTGATAGCATCTCATATGTCGAGTCCTTGCATGCTTGTGTAGTGAAATATGGATTTGAGAGACAAGTCTCTGTTGTCACGGCTCTTCTTTCTGTGTACGCCAAGCTTGGAAATGTGAATTCGGCCGAGTTCCTTTTTCGTGAAATATACGTGAAGAACACCTTAATTTGGAACTCAATGGTCTCAGCATACGCTGGTCATGGCCTTTGGCAGCAGAGCCTGAATGCATTTCGTCTCATGCAAAAGGATGGTTTTAATCCGGATCAAATCTCGATTATTAGTCTCCTTTCTTCATGTTCAGGATTGAAAGCCAGTCTGCTGGGAAAGTCCGCGCATGGTTTTAGTATCAAAAGAAAGTTCGATTTGAATCTCAATGTGATAAACGCATTGTTGTCATTTTACTGCGAATGCCGTGAGTTGGCCTATTCTTTCAGGATATTTGATAGAATGGATTTTAAAAATATTATTTCATGGAATACAATTATTTCCGGATGTGTAGATAATGAAGAATTCGAGCGGGCAATGATCTTGTTCTATGAGATGAGGCAAAAAGGTGTTGACTTTGACTCTGTTACCCTGATAAGTATCCTTCCATCTTGCCATGAGTGTGAAGAAAATCCATTTCTTGGTTCGTCTATTCATTGCTTGTCTGTCAAAACTGCTCTTTCTTCTGATATATCATTAGCTAATGCTCTCGTTAGCATGTACGTAAACTGTGGAGAGATTGATTCAGCGAGGTTACTATTTGACGACATGCCTGAAAAGAGTGTAGTTTCTTGGAATGCCATTTTAACCGGCTACCGTCAGCATAACCTGCAGAAGGATACCATTGATCTGTTCAGTGACATGATAAGAGATAACCAAAAGCCAAATTACGTAACTTTACTAAATGTGTTACCCGAATGCAACACCCTTCGTGAAGGTAAATCCGTGCACGCATATATCATTAAGAATGTGGTCCCACTCGAAACTCCTCTTCTCACGTCACTCATCGTCATGTACGCGAGATACGAAATTCTAGAGTCGTGCGTGAAATTATTCCACGTTGGAGATAAGACGAGTATTTCCCTGTGGAATACGGTTATATCTGCTCATCTACTTTCGAAAAACAGTACCATGGCATTTGTTTACTTTCGTGAGATGATTCGAAATAAAGTAGAGCCAGATTTTATCACAGCACTCAACCTCATTTCGGCTTGCGTCCAAATCAATAACTCGCGTATAGCAAAGGCTGTCTCGGCTTTTCTTGTGAAAAGTGGATTTGAGAGAGACGTGGCCGTTAGCAATGCATTGATCGATATGTACGCAAAATGTGGTGACATTTTCACCGCACGAATGGTGTTTGACGAATTGCCTCAAAAGGACACCATTTCTTGGAGTGTGATGATAAACGGGTACGGATTGCATGGGGATGGTGCATCTGCTTTGTCTGTGTACTCGCAAATGAGGTCTCTTGGTTTGAGACCAGATAAAGTTACCTACATTAGTGTTTTATCGGTTTGTAGTCGTGCGGGTTATGTCGAACAAGGAAAAATGGTTTTCGAGACTATGTTGAGCGAAAAGTTAGTGTTGGGGTTCGAGCACTATGCTTGCATAGTTGATCTTCTTAGTCGGACGGGACACTTGAATGAGGCGTATGAGATTGTGAAGAATTTGCCCGATAGGCATTCGGCTAACCTCGTTGGGTCGTTAATGGGTGCTTGCTTGAGTCATGGGGATTATGGGCTCGGAGAGGAAATAGGTAGGTGGGCTTTGGATACAAGCCCGAGAGATTGTGGGCCGTATGTCGTTCTGCACAATATCTATGCAGCAGGAGGGAAATGGGTTGATGCAAAGAATGTTAGGGTGGCCATGGAACAAAGTCAGTGTAAAAAGGATCCTGGGATTAGTCTTCTAGATGGGAAATATGAACATATATAATTGACATCAAATGTAAGACATGTCGTTAAACATCAACTCGTGCCTGTTGATGGAGGAAATGAACAGTAATTTCGTCAAATACAAAATTTTTGTGTTAAACAGCCTAACTGTGTTAGACATGTCGTTCTTACATGCTTTTTGAAATTTCTACTTATACTACCAAACCAAACGTTATACTTCTTGTTTTATAAAGTAAAACATTTTTAACAAAAATATAAATTTTTATTAAAAAAAAATATGCCAGCTTAATGATTATGTCAGTGTATGTTGAACTAATGATTATGTCAATCTAACACAAAACCAACCGTTGATCGATATACCGCACACTTAACAAGCTTTGAAATTCGAGCTGAGGAAAAGTTCCAAACAACTCATTTGCTAGTGTGCACTAACGGATTCGGGGGATCTGTCGTGCCAATTTAAACCGTAGGTATCTACTGTGCAATATGGACCGTTGGATGTATTTAAAAGACATTTGACGGCCAAAAATTTTATCCACAATAAAATCAGATAAAAAAAAAAGAAAATTGAAAATACATATGCACGATAGAGGCTATACCTAAACAATTTCATCTTCTTTTCAAACGAAAACATTTCGTGTAATTCACAATTAATTTTTTTTNGTTAGAATGGGTAGAGTTGAAATTTGGATATTTTTCTCAAATCTTTCCCACATCGATTTTTCTCGCCATTTTTTTTTCTTTCAAATTGGAGATTTCTTTGTTTTTGTTTTTACCCAATTTTTTTCTTCAAGTTTTCAAGCTTTTCTATATTCTTTAATGGCGGATTTTTCAGCTACAGTGAAGTCTCTTTCTTTTTTGCTTTGGAGATCACAATTTTTTTTGTTAGAATGTTTTAAAGTTGGAATTTGGATATTTTTCTAAAATCTTTCTCACATTGATTTTTTGCCATTTTTTTCTTTTAAATTGGAGATTTCTTTATTTTTGTTTTTACCCAATTTTATTCCTCAAGTTTTTAAGCTTTCCTCTGATCTTTAATGGCAGATTTTTTAGCTACAGATGAAGTTTCTTTCTGATCTTTAATGGCAGATTTTTTAGCTACAGATGAAGTTTCTTTCTTTCTGTTTTGGACAGCCTGTATTCTTTCTTCGTTTTAATATAAAAAATTGTAAGAAAAAAATAAGAAAATCAATGGCCGTTAGATACTTATCCTATAATCCAACGGCCACCATCAAACACAGCAGAGCCTGCTGTAAAATTATTAACAGCAGGATCCCCCGCACCCTGCGCTAACACGATGGAATCACAAACAGAAGATGGGTAATTGAAAAACGAAAAACAAGAAAAAAAATCATATTGAAAGGAGATGTTCAGGACAGTTCGTACAAATCAACACAGGACAAAATTGCAGCACTACTAAGTAATAAATAATCCCACAGTCGAATGAATATGAATGCCACAATCCCAATACTCATCGACATGTTCCCCAAATTCTAACCTAATAGCACCAACTTAATAACACGTATATCACGAACTATTACAATAAGCAAACACATCAATCAACTCGTTAAAACATAAAACAATTCCATCTGAAAGTCGAGCCAAACGCAAATAAAGCCTTCCTGCAACATAATCCATTTTTTTACTTAAATATAGTTCAACAAGACACCAGCCAGCAACAACTAAAATACGCAATCAAAAAGACACCCCCAAAGTACTGGAAGCTCCAAAATTGCAACGGTGACTACTCCAAAACCAGCTGCTTATTGGAAAACAAAATCATACAACCAACCGAACTTCCGTAATTCGCATCCACAACGTAATTCCCAGCTCAATCAGTGGGACACGCGCCACTGTTCTGTTTGGCCACATAAATCTGTTTCACCTTTGAAGTATGAAAACCTTTATCCACACCACTCGACTGGTTACGTCCATAGTAGCCCACCCTTCGGTGAGAATATTCACTTCCCGAGCCCTGCCTGTGAGCAATTACACCTCCACTCCTTCGATAACCATACCTTCCTGTATTACTATTATTACTATTATTATTGTTATTATAGTTATTACTTCCCTGTTGGGCAGATGATACATTTTTCTTCGGGAATTGAGCATTGAGAGCACTTGTGTTCTGAGGTTTGCTATTCTCGGCAGTATCAGTCTTGATAGATTCGGGATTTGAACTACCGGGCAAGGTCTGGATGACAGATGCAGGAGAGTCGAAGCTTAGTTGGTCTGAGACTTCGAGATGAGAAGGAAATGGGCCCACGGTGGAGTCTGAGGAGACCTTGAAACTTGAGCTTTTGTTATTAGACTGTTTTGGGGAAGAGGACTCGATGAATCTGTTGGCGGCTTGGGATTGGTCCGTAGGATTTCCAGGGTTGTTGACTTGAGGAGGCAATAGGCTTTCTGTTTGGGATTGTGGTGGTCGAGAGACCGGGAGAATTGGTGAGGGAGGAATTGGGCCCCAGCGAGCTTGGACAGGCAAATCAGGAGCAGTCTGAAAAAATGGCAAATAAATAAATTTGACATTTCTTTCAGAAATACAAACATCCCATTCAAAAAGTTTGCATTTTGTAACAAGACAACCCCCCAAAACGCACATACAAACATCGACAGGATATTTACTCTTGATTGAGTAAGAATTTCGTTATATGAACTTAACAAACAAAATCTCAAGGGCATTTTGCATAATTAACCCAAATAATTACGCAAGAAACATTCTTTACCTGAAATGGAGATACATCAAACATGTGCATCGGGGGACGCATTGGCAATAGCGGGGACCCCGGGGCAAGATGCTGAATAGGCGGCGGCATATTGGGCCCACCCCTCTGCACATTACTCACATTCACATTACTAATGTCACCTTCACCACCACTGTGTCCAGCAGAGGATGTCGACATATTATTTTTCCAATCACCTTGCTTTCCCGAAGGTATATATGTTGCACCCATAAAACTCAAGCCCACCTGACCATACTGTCCAACAGGAGCAAAATGATTATATACGACCATATGCGGAGTCGGGCCTGGAACACCCGGAATTCCTCCATGTGGGCCGATGAATGGGCCCGGGTATCCAGCTGGCGCCCCGTAAAAAGATTCCACGCCAGAATGCCAGTTGCCGAGGGGAAGTCCTGAGGCTGGCGCCATACTCTTTGGTGGCTGTGATCGATTACCAGAGGACTCTTCATGCGGGCTGAAAGCGAAAATCGGTCCACCGAGTAAGGGATTCATCTCGTAGAAGGGGAAGTGGGAAGGTGGGCCTGTGGGGAAATGAGAGAGCATTTGGCCAGAGGAGCTCTGAGGGCTTGGCAATGGCGGCCACAAGGATATTGGTGTGGTCTCCACAGATAGATCGGCAGGGAGGGAAACAGTCAATGAATCCTCACTTTGCGATTGGCTTGTTACTTGCTTATCACCAACTGCACCTATAAGAAAGACTATGAGCCATCTAAATACAATACAGATTAAGCT